CCCGGCTTAGGTGCGTGTGCACGCCGCCCTGTCGAGTCATTCCCACGCCAAACGACTGGTCCGCCTAAACAAAGTGCACGCCGCCCCGATGAGTCGTTCGCACGCCAGACAACCGGTCCGCCCACACAGAGTGCATTTAATGACGTGCACAGCGCGGCCGGCGCGGGACTCTAACGCGCCAACTGCATGATTCACAAGGCCAATGGAGTCGCGTCTTACTTGAGAACACAATCTCATTGGTCCAATCTTGTACACGTGTTCGTTTGCCTTAAATACGCTGTACTACGTTTTCTCAAAGATTTCTGCTTTGTTCACTTCTTGTTGTGTTCTTCCTTGGGGGCTCACACAAGGCGTAACGTAGACGGCGATGTCGTAGTTCTCGGTTACATTTACAACAGGCTTAACTTACTTAACTCCCTGCGATAGACTTCTGCACGATTTCGAAAGTTCTAATGGATACAAAAATGTTTCCGGTGCTTAACCAGCCTTCTTCCGTATTCACATTGTCGTAATCACCTGCATGTTGTGGGCTGTACAGGGAGTCATATAGTTCTGTATGGGGACTTCCTTTTACCTTAAGTTGACATTTTTGTCTTGATTAGAGTATCAAGAAGTTGACAGCACACGCTGACCCCAGCCAACGCTAAATTGCCTTGTAAGTTGGCGAGCTTATGTTGATAAGCGTTAGTAGGAGTTCGGTAATCAAATACAAATCATTATATTTTAGCATAATCCGGCGGGAATCGGTCGTATGACCAACACAGCCCATCCCCATACGTGTTGATCTAGACCCGTATTTGGGATCGCGAAAGGAAGATTGGCGATTGTGAGTCAAGTTCTCCGCCACACCTGAACTGATGCGCAAGGCTTAATGGACTGCCCGTGACGTGATTGGTCAGTTATCGGACAAACGACTACCCTCAAACCGCAAGCTATACATCGTACTGATTCTCATGTTAATCACAAATTATAGGAGGTTGCACTCACCCGTGGTACCCCTGAGAGTTTTGATAATGTACGAGGTCATCTGAGACGTTGGTTAGGAAGTCCTGAAGATTGTCATTTTCGTGCCCCTTCATGGGCGGGATTTCGAGAGTTGGGGACTGAAGCGTCTGGGGGTTTAAGGTCTCGTCAAACAAAACCATATTATAGCCGACGACAAGGTCGGCATCAAAGATCTCAGATGCCTTGTAGTCCACATCGTCATGACCGAACGGGTTCATCACGCACAAGGCTACCTTGAATCACAGAAAGCGGGAAAAAGGCCGAATAAAAAATGCTCAAAGGTACTGCAAAGCATGAGAGGTTTACAGGTACCAAATGTTACACTAAGAACTTTGCAATTGACTATCCGCCGACTAAAAAATGCAAAGCGAAAATTTAAAAAAATGTATTTAAGGACTATAAAAACATGAGGTGGAGAGCTGCGTCAGAGCGAACGTCAGCCTGACATCATCAGGCAGTACAGCAACGTACAAGTGAAAAAATAATCAGCGTGACCGCGTTGAACATCCAGCGAATTTAACAGGTAAAACTTATTTTCGAGAAAAGCCATGGAAGCCAGGAAACTCCCGCCGTCTACGTCGTGCAGGTCAACAGAAACAGGCAGCAGAAGAAAGTGGCAGCATCGCGATTTGCGAAATGATGATCGGTGTTACAAATTGCCATGAGCCAAGATGACTGCCTATCCGACAACGCCTCAATCAAACCCCCAACGGAGAACTCAAAAGCAAGGACGGAAAACTGGGACTGTATTGCCGTATGCTAACGGAATACATCATAAAGGTAAGCAAGACATCTACGAGCATGTACAATATCGGTCTGCAACCGGATAAACCAGCTCGTGTCTTAAAGTGGATAGCATTTCGACAGGCTTTCAGACTTATACACCTGCGAGGTAGAATCCTAAGTTGCAAAAATTCCCATTAGATAATTCAGAACACAATTTTGGCGAGCGA